AGGCTGCCAGACTGGGTGCTTGCCTGGCTTTCCTGCCTGAGGCTTTTGACTTCATTGCCCGGGACCCTGCAGAGACTCTGCGCCTGTCTGAGCCACTGGGCGGGAACCTTTTGGGAGAATATGCCCAGCTTGCCAGGTATCAGAAAAGGGGGGTGGGGGGGGACGGGGAGAGGTCATTGCTTTGCTGGGCATTGTCTCTGGATTGCCAGATGTGAGGGTGGAGCCTTGGAAAGAGCGCAGTGTCCACTCCCCCAGGGAATGTGGACTCTGGCTGTCCTTGGGTGGTTTCCACGAACGTGGCCAAGACTGGGAGCAGACTCAGAAAATCTACAATTGTCATGTGCTTCTGAACAGCAAGGGTGAGACTTCACAGCTCTCTAGCTTGCCTCCTCCCAGGCTCTTCTCCCTAAACCAAGATTCTCCAGAATCGTGTCTTCTGTTTCCTCGGCCAAGGGCTCCTCCTCCCAAGGAGGCTTCTGGAGTGCCAGCACCCCCTCTTCCTTCTCCCTCTCATCCTAGGGTCGGTAGTGACCACCTACAGGAAGACACATCTGTGTGACGTACAGGTCCCAGGGCAGGGGCCTATGCATGAAAGCAACTCCACCATGCCCGGGCCCAGCCTCACGTCACCTGTCAGCACACCAGCAGGCAAGGTGGGAGCTGTGAAGGGGGAGGGAGAGGAACAAGAGGGAGGGGACAGGAATAGTGAGCACAGGAGATAGAGAGCCTAAGGAGTAGGGTACGGGTGACTAGATGCCGTGACAGACACACACTCTTTATCCCAGGTTGGTCTGGCTATCTGCTATGACATGCGGTTCCCTGAACTCTCTCTGGCACTGGCTCAGGCTGGAGCGGAAATACTTACGTACCCTTCGGCTTTTGGAACTGTAACAGGCCCAGCCCACTGGGAGGTAAGAGGACCTCTTCAGAACATGCGGGCTTTCCTTTCACTTCATTTTCTTCCCTCGGCCCTGCCAGTTAGATTTTCTCCCCCTTCCCACCTAGTGGGAAAATTCATTCCCCAAATTATTGCCTCTCATATGTTAAGGAATAGTTAACATTTCTAGCCAATTACAGAATGGTCACAATGGCTAGGTTGGCCTGCTGCTTCCCCCCCAGCTGCCACGCTTCTCCTCCCCAGGTGTTGCTGCGGGCCCGAGCCATTGAGACCCAGTGCTATGTAGTAGCTGCAGCACAGTGTGGATGCCACCACGAGAAGAGAGCGAGTTATGGCCACAGCATGGTGGTGGATCCCTGGGGGACAGTGGTGGCCCGCTGCTCTGAGGGACCAGGCCTCTGCCTTGCCCGGATTGACCTCAGTTACCTGCACCAGCTGCGCCAACATCTGCCCGTGTTCCAGCACCGCAGGCCTGATCTCTATGGCAATCTGGGTCACCCACTGTCTTAGGACTTTTGACTTCTGTGAGTTGAGACCCACTGTGAGCTGGTGTTGCTGTTACTTTGAGGCAGGGGCCAGGTGTACCTCCCCCTCACTTGGGGAACCCTGACTCTTGAAGGAACGTATGCTTAGCTTCTTGGGAAAGAAGAAACTCACCTGAGCTCAGATTTCAGTTTCAAAAATGTGGAATTTCATATACTGTTTATTTCATGAAAACTAAAAACGCCGAGGGCTGAGCAACACTGGCATTGAAAGAAATAGAATCATAAAGTGTCTGGACATCTCCTTTGGGAGCTGAAAGGGGAGGTGGTGGCCGGCTGCAGTGAATTCCACCTGCGGTGCTTCCCTCCGCAGATGTACCCCTCCCTTTTCCTGGTCCAGCTGGACTCGGCTCCGGTTCTAAGCCTCCTGGCTCATTCAACAAGCCTCCTACCCACATAAAAGTGCAACCCTCAGGGCATGTCCCAGCCCCATGCTCCTACGGGGGGTGTAGGGATGGGGAAGGACCTGTGATGCCCTTTGCCCAAGCCAGAGCAAGCAAAGGGGAAGGGCTGCGGGGCATCTTATTTTCAGTCACTAGCACACATGGAAGGGAGTGTCACACTCCCCTCCCCTTTCCAGAGGGAGTGCTTGAACCTCAGCACCCCCCTGTGCATGTGCACACACCACAGCTGGCGGGGCTGACCTAGTCCTCTCTCCTATTTTCCCTTGAAGAGGACAGATTGGGGGGGGGGGGGGGGTAACCACGCAGAGGTTTCAGCAATGAAATGGAAGAAACGAGGCAGAGAGGAGCAGCACCAGAGGCCAGGAGAGAGTTGAAAGGGCCACAGTTTCTTTTTTAAAAAGTCTATAATTTGGGAGAGGGTGGTGATTAATTTCCAAAATACACTTCAGAGTCTCACCTTCCACACAACACAGCTCCCTTACTCACAGCCCTTTGGTTTTCAGACAAAATGTAAGAGCCTCATAAAGCCAGAAGCACTGACAGCCCTCAGCGCACCCACACGCAGTGTTCACTGACGTCCCTTACAGACTGTCCCACAGACTTCGCTTCTCCCTACACCTCTACCTCGCGGCTCAGTAGTAAAGGCGGCTGCAGACACACGGGGGGTGAGTGGAAAGGGAAACAGGGAAGCCCAGGCACATGGGTGTAGGGAGGGGTGGGAAACACCACTTCCATTTTCCTTTGTCTTTTCCTTAAAAAAAAAAAAAAAAAAAAAGGCAGGGGTGTGATTGGTTGGAAGGGGAGAGAAAAAACCCCAGAACAGTATGTACGCTCCAGAGGTGAGTGATGGGACCAGTCCCAGGAGGGAAGGTCAGGGCAAGGCCTGCAGCATCAAGTTCCTCAGGAGTTTCTGCCGGCCCAGCTCGTAGTCCTCCTCATCCACGTTCACCAGCAGCTTGATGGCTTCGTGGCCCACAGCCTGCTTGAGGGAGTCTGTGATGAAGACGCCTTTCAGTGCCTCTAGGAGCGAGCCATTGATGTAGTCGCGCCAGAATGCATCGAGGTAGGTGAGCTCAGAGAACTTGATGTCACAGATGATGGAGCCCAGGTCCCGGGACTTGAGGATGGTGTTGGCCTGGTTAAAGCGCTCAAACTGGCGCTCAAGTGGGTCCTGCTTGTTGGAGAAAACATTGCCCTGCAGAGCAGTCTCATGCTGGCAGTATTCAGCCCGAACCCGCAGTCTGATGTCTGCAGGAAAGAGAAGAGACGCAGAAGAGGTTGCCATGAGAGGATGAGTTTACGAGAAAGATTAAAAGAGCAGCAGAGTAGCAAAGTGGGAACATCACCTGACAGCTTCCCCTGCTCTTGTCCAGAACTACTTTTCTAGGTACCTCTGAACCTCCCTGAATGCAGGAGGTTCCCTTAAATAGGCCATGCCCAGGTCACATTATCCCACCACTCAAGTAGCACCTTGTTTCTGGGAGATATTTTCCTGGTTAACAGGCAGTCGTTTTCACAGGCTACTATGATAGCTACTATGATACCATGACGTGGTTCCTACTATAGCTACAGTAGGGACCCTCCCTCTGTTCTGGTGTTAACTACAAAGAGTTGACAAGTGCTCTGCCACAAAGACAGAGAATTCTCCCCCAGGGCCACCACTCAAACCTCCCTCTGCAGCAGCACCAACGGGAGCCTGGTGCTGCCGAGTGTTCCTCTGGGACCCCTGAACTCACCACATGTCTGCTTTTCCTTAGGATCCGGTGTCACTGACTTTCGGCGTTTTCGCTGGCTCCCAAGTGTGGCTCTCCCTCGAGCTGGCCTCTTGCTACACATCTGAGGGCCTGAAGTGGGGCAGCACACCACAGGATAGTGAGGAGGCACTGACGGGGAGGAGACAGTAGGGTAAATGCTCAGACACTTCTCTTGGAAAGAATCATTTAGCCTTAGCAGGAAACGCAGTATCCACAATATGACCTAGGACACAATGTGGCAACAATCACAGGACCCAGGGAACACAATGCCTCACCTCACTTTTTTAAAATATATTTTTATTGATTTCAAAGAGGGAGAGGGATAGATAGAAACATCAATGAGAATCATTGATTGGCTACCTCCTGCATGCCCCCCACTGGGGGGGGGGGGGGTTTGAGCCCGCAACCTGGGCATGCGTCCTTGGTCAGAATCAAACCCGGGACCCTTCAGTCCACAGGCCGATGTTCTATCCACTGAGCCAAACCAGCCAGGGCTACCTCACCTTATTTTTATGGGGTCATGGAGGGGGGAAGGGTCCTTTTATTTAAGGTGTGACTATGAGTGGTTCCATGTCCTCTTTCTTGATGATGGAAATTAGGGGAATTTAATACCCACTCACCTGTTTTAGGGGATTGGGGAGGCCTTGGTTCTGGATCACTGAGGGCTCTGGGGGTCACATAGCGAATTGATGTCTCCTCCAGATACTTGTCTACAAGGTCAGGGCACACTGTAGGGGGAGAGGGAGTCATTCGGGAAGATGTACCCCGCCCTTCTCCTGGTCCAACCCTCCAACAGGCCTCTTGACAGTCCTGGGTACCCCCCAGAGCCAGTGCCGCCTCCCGCTGGGACTCCAGCCCAATACCTAAGTCCCCAGCCCTGTGCCCCTCACCAGCCCGCCGCCTCTTGAGGGTGACGTAGGGCAGGAGGTCATGGCGAGTAATGATGCGCAACAGCTGCAGCACTTGGCGGAAGTTAGTCTCATCACAGCGGCCCTGGCGCTCAAGCGCCAATAAGAAGTCACGTCCATTTCGGATGAGGCCACGTTCATGTTCATCAATGACATCAACAAAGAGGAAAGAAAGAACGCGCACATCTCTGTGTGTCAGGTGGGTGCCCACGATGTCAAACATGCGGTGCAGGCTGTACAGCCCGTGCTCCTGCTCACCACACTCTTCTGGCCACACCTGGCTCGCCCGTCGCTTCAGGCCCGCCATGCTGGGGGCTCAGGTGCGCAATGCTTCCCAGAATCCCTGCTCGGCAGCTGCAATCCCCACTACACTGTAAGGACGCCGAAAGAACCTGTGAGTTATTCATTCCTGCATTCCCAGTGCTAACACAATGCCTGGCACAGTGTAGTGCTTAGTAATTCTTTATTTAAAAACTAGATGCCTGGTGCACAAAAATTTGAGCACTGCCCTCAGCCCGGCCTGCCCCTCTCACAGTCGGGGAGCCCTCAAGGGATGTCCTTCTGACTGCTTAGGCCCGCTCCCCTCCCTGTGGGCAGCGGGCCTAAGCTGCAGTCTGGCCGCCCTCTGCGGGAGGCAACTGGGCCAATCAAAGGAAAGCGCTGCCCCCATCACCCAACCACTGCTGCCACTGCCAGCCACTGTGGCTGCCTACCCTCAGCCCTCGCAGCCACGGCGGCCTTGTCAGGAAGGACATCAGAAAGGACATTCGGCTCTCCGGTCTAATTAGCATATTATGCTTTTACTATTATAGATAAAGCCTAGAGTTCTCCACATACAACAGATGGTGCCTTAAGTTCAAGATTCTATTGGAGAACTAGAGTCACTTCTCCTAGGTGAGAATGTTATATGCCATCTTGGTGCTACACAGCAGGAATTGCTATTAGCTATTACCCTAATTGTTGCCCCCCCCCCCCAACACCCCCCCCCCCGCCTCCAAAACACTGCTTTTGGTTTTTTGTGCTCCCCCTAATCAGTTCATCTCTTAAATGTAGGCAAAATTGGGCAGAAGTAGAGAATTCACTCTTTAATAAGTAAACTGTAGCAGATGAACTTAAGGACAGTAGGAAACTGAAAATCTTTAGGGTGAGAACTAGTTTCAATTCTGCCTGTATCATTAACAAGCCATGTAGCTGTGTGACCTTAAGCAAGTCACTTAACTTCAAAGTTTCACTGCCCCTGTCTACAAAACAGGCATGAAAGAAACGACTACTCAGACTTGTTAAGAATCCAATGAGATAATACAACTGAAGTCACTTTGTAAATCTAATGCAAATCATTGTGAAAGAGATTCAAAGAAGCATCCTTGCCCCTCCAGCATTAGCTCAAGTGCTTGAATGTAGACCTATGAACTAGGAGATCACAGTTCGATTCCTGGTCAGGGCATATGCCAGGGTTGCAGGCTCAATCCCTAGTGTGGGACATACAGGAGGCAGCCAATCAATGATTCTCTCTCATCATTGATGTTTCTATCTTGATTTCCCTCTCCCTCTCTGAAATCAATAAAAATACATTAAAAAAAAAAATAAGCATCCTAGCCCAGACTCATCCTTCCATAAATGTATCTATAGGTTTCCTATAATCCAACCAAGTCCAGAAGCATAACTGCTCTAAAGGTTAATGAATAATATTCACCAAAACTCATGGATTTAAATCCAGAAACATGACCAAGCTCCTATGTTGAGCACTCTTGTAATTCCCCCATTCTACCTGTACCCCCTTGATGTTCAGATGCCATTTGGATATGCTGTCTTCCAACCTGGCAGTCATTTACCAATCCCCTGTGAATGACTGATGACAGCCCTAGATTCTTTCTATAATTTGGCATTTGACTCAGAAAGTTGCTCCATCATCCTGGGTAATGTCAAGGACTCAGCCAATAACCAGTCTTCAGGTCAAACAACATTTAATTCCACTGTAGTTGCTCATACTTACTGCCCCCTTCTGACCAAAACCTCCAACCACCCAATCATTATACACTCCTGTTGATGCTACTTCTAAGTAGGTCTTAAATCTGCCTCACCTTTCCACTTCCACTGCCCTAGCTCAGGCCCCAATAACCTCTCACCTGGACTTCTGCAACAGCCTCTTTTATTCTAAATATATTTTTATTGATTTCAGAGAGGAATGGAGAGGGAGAGAGAGACAGAAACATCAATGATGAGAGAAAATCATTGATTGGCTGCCTCCTGCACAGCCCTTACTGGAAATCCAGCCCACAACCCAGGCATGTGCCGTAGAAGCTCAACCACTGAGCCACGGTGACCAGGCCTCAGAATCCACTTTTCATTCTCTAACAATATCAGTTTGTTTATAGTTTACATACAATCATATACTTCACTTCTCTGTACCTGCCTTCCTATTCCACACCCCCATCACCGACCTTTCTCAGATGGCTAACTCCTACTCGCTCTTTAAGAGTCAACTCAAAAGGAAAGGAAAAAAAAAAAAAAAAAAGAGCTCAGATGCCATCTTTAAATTTAGTCCCTACACCTCATGCTGGGATATGTAGTCCTCTTCTGTGCTTCCTGGAACACTGCATATTCCTGTAGCCATTTATCAAAGTGTACTAAGATTATCTGTGCACTTATTATCCCACTAGAGGCCCGGCACACAAAATTCGTGCATGGGTAGGGTCCCTAGGCCTGGACAGCGATCAGGGCTGATCAGTGGGGCGACCGGCAGGGCGATCGGGGCGGAGGAGGGGGGTGGAGGGCGCTGGTACTCGCCTTGGCTGGCCTGGGGCTTGTGGGTTGGGGGGCAGCACCTGCATTGAGCGTCTGCCCCCCGGTGGTCAGTGCACATCATAGTGACTGGTCATTCCTCCATTCAGTCAATTTGCATATTAGGCTTTTATTATATAGGATTAGATCTTCAGCGACTCATGTAGAGGGACTAAGTTATATTCATCTTTATATCCCTAATGCCTAGCAATGGATAAAGCCTAGCACACAGACTGAACTTAATCTCCAAGAGATCATCACAAGCAATACCCATTAACACATTAAGCGTCCTGTCAGTCACCAGTGACTGACACTATACTTTCCACCTGGAAGACAAAACAGGCTGGGCGCTTAACGTGTTAAGAAACAAACTCAAGTCCAAGAGTGAGAGGACCTCATTAAAAATAGATACACACAACTCAGTTACCATTCACATACTCTAGCTAGCTATAGCCTCCCTACACTGCAGAACTACCCAATCCACAGCACCCTGCTCGCCAGCGAGATAGGTGGATCTGTCCATTCTATACACCAACAAACTGAGTCTAGGTTAACACGTTAAGCGCCCTGTCAGTCACCGGTGACTGACACTATATTTTCTGTTTGGAAGACAAAATAGGCTGGGCGCTTAACATGTTAAAAAACAGACTAAGTCCTAGCTGGTTTGGCTCAGTGGATAAAGTGTTGGCCTGCAGACTGAAGGGTCCCAGGTTCGATTCCAGTCAAGGACACATGCCCGGGTTGTGGGCTCGATCCCCAGTAGGGGGCATGCAGGAGGCAGCCGATCAATGATTATTTTCCATCATTGATGTTTCTATCTTCCTCTCTGAAATAAATATATCTATAGTACTAATCAGTTTGGCTCAGCCTGTGGACTGAAGGGTCCCAAGTTTGATTCCGGTCAAGGGCATGTACCTTGGTTGCAGGCACATCCCCAGTAGGGAGTGTGCAGGAGGCAGCTGAATCGATGTTTCTAACTCTCTATCCCTCTCCCTTCATCTCTGTAAAAAAATCAATAAAATATATATATTTTTTAAAAAAACGTATATATATAATAATAATAATAAAAACATAATATGCTAATTAGACCGGACATCCTTCCAGAAGACCTTCTGGATGAAGCCAGGACTGCGAGGGAAGCCCGGGTCCCAGGTGCCGGCAGCTGGGGGAAGGAAGGCCTACTCTTGCATGAATTTTGTGCATCAGTCCTCTAGTATTAAAAAGAGAATAAAATAAACTACTTCAGAACAGCCAAGCTGATGGGATCTCAGAAAACTAAAGAGCAAGTAGAACCTGGTCCTCTCTGCCTCAGTCGTCCTAAACTAGAAGCACAGAGACTCACCCACTTCAGAAAAGGGAAGTCCACACTAAAGTCACTTAGCCCCAAACCATGGGTTCTGATATGTGGACAGGAAATACAGCCCATATCTACTTAGGAGATACCCCACCTGAAGCATGGGAAAATAGCCATTCAACTACAGACTAAATTTCCGTATCTCTTCCTCTCATTTTACCTAATGCAGTCTCTAGGTACAGGAGGAGACAGAATGAAAATACCTTCTTCCTTATACCAGGCAACATGGAAAAACCAAGCCTCCTCAAAGCCCCTACAACTTCTTGTTCCCTATCCCACCTGGTCCTTTTGGCCACCTGTTGATTATGATGATCCCAGAAAAGCAGGTGGACAGGTTTCACATTCAACCAATCAGAAGGCCAGGTTGCTCTAGAGCTCCCTAACTCAAAGTGTCCTGACTTAAACCTTAGGAAATGAAGAAATATTGTTTCACAAAACAGGCTACTGGAAAATTAGGCAGAATATAGGAAAGCACTGTGGTCCTAATTATTCATCAATGGATATCCTATCCTATATAATAAAAGAGAAACATGTAAATTGACCGGCCCTCCACTATGTTCACCAGCCAATCAGGCATATGCAAATTAACAAAAGATGGCGGGTTAATTTGCATACACAGGTGCGGGGGTGGGGGGGAGAGCTGGTGGCTGGGAGGACTTGGCAGAGTGGGAGGCCATGGGACGGAGACAGAGCAGGAAGGGAAAACCAAGAGCGTGGGGAGCACCAGGAATTCTGGGAATCGTAGTTCTGGTGGCAGACGGATCTCCTAGCCCAGTGGTTGGCAAACTGTGGCTCGCGAGCCACATGCGACTCTTTGGCCCCCTGAGTGGGCTCTTCCACAAAATACCACGTGTGGGCGCGCACATACAGTGCGATTGAAACTTCATGGCCCATGCACAGAAGTCAATTTTTGGCCTGGGCAAGTCTACTTTGAAGAAGTGGCGTTAGAAGAAGTGGGGGGTGCTGGTCGGTCGGGTGATGGGAGACGTGGTGCAGGCGGGCTGCGGGATACACAGCGCAGGCCCGGGGGAGATACATTGTTTTGAGGTACGTTCGATGAGGTCGACCCCTTCCAACTCTCCCATCCACACTCGTCTATCTGAAACAAGTATACAAGACGAGTGTGGATGGGAGAGTTGGAAGGGGTCAACCTCAGCAAACATACCTCAATCAGATTGAGGACGTTTTTAGCAAAGGCCAGCTTAGGAGTACCCTCATTAAGTTAATAACAATGTTCCTACCTATATAGTTTAAGTTTAAAAAATTTGGCTCTCAAAAGAAATTTCAATCGTTGTACTGTTGATATTTGGCTCTGTTGACTAATGAGTTTGCTGACCACTGACCTAGAGCAGTGGTCAGCAAACTGCGGCTCGCAAGTCACATGCGGTTCTTTGGCCCCTTGAATGTGGCTCTTCCACAAAATACCATGTGCGGGCACGCATGTACATTGCGATTGAAACTTCGTGGCCCATGCACAGAAGTCAGTATTTTGTGGAAGAGCCACACTCAAGGGGCCAAAGAGCCGCATGTGGCTCGCAAGCCGCATTTTGCCGACCACTGTCCTAGACCAGTGGTTCTCAACCTTCCTAATGCCACGACCCTTTAATACAGTTCATGTTGTGGGTGACCTGCAGCCACAAAATTATTTTCGTTGCTACTTCATAACTGTAATTTTGCTACTGTTATGAATCGTAATGTAAATATCGGTCTGATATGTAGGATGTATTTTCATTGTTACAAATTGAACATAATTAAAGCATAGTGATTAATCACAAAAACAATATGTAATTATATATGTATTTTCCGATGGTCTTAGGCGACCCCTGTGAAAGGGTCATTCGACCCCCAAAGGGGTCTCAACCCACAGGTTGAGAACCGCTGTCCTAGACACTAGAGCAAAGTGAGCCTGGAGCAAGTTACTGTGGGGGATGGAGGGAAAGCAAAGGTGAGAGACATAAGTAAAATCAGAGTGTCTAGGAAAAACTAAAGGGAAGATATCCTAAAACTTCCAGGAAATCTCCACCAATGAAACAAGGAGAAAAAAAAAATTGCCTCAGTTATTCTGTGCGCAACAAACCAAACTGAGTTGGGGGTCTCAGACAATTCGCTCATATGATTGCAAAGACAGACAGAAACTCCCGAATTGGAGAGGGCTCCCCTGAGGGCTCCCAGATTGGAGAGGGTGCAGGTTGGGCTGAGGGACCCCCACACTCCCCAGTGCACGAATGTCGTGCACTGGGCCTCTAGTAATTCTATAATAGGCCTCAATTATCTGAGGATTAACTCCTTACATTTGAGGGGGAAAAACAGCCACTTTTCAGTTCTAGATTCCAAGATCATTTAAGGTCCCTAAAATTATCAGAGTTTCAAGGTCAGTGGTTCTAAATAAGGGGTGATTTTGCCACCGTGGGGACATTCAGAAATGTATGGAGACATTTTAGATTGTCATATGGTGGACTAAGGGTGGGTGTTACTGGCAAGCAGTGAATAGAGGTCATGGATGCTATTAAGCAAATACAATGCACAGGAGAGTCCCCATGACAAAGAATTATCTGGCCCAAAATGTCGACATTGCTGAGAATGAGACCCTACTCCATATGGAGGTGGTAACAGGTCTGAAAGAATAGGGACAGCAGGTCACTTTCCACCCTAGATCTGGAGAAGAAAGCCACGGTCCCTCTGACCCAAACCCATTCAACAGTATGCCAGAAGGAAAGAAAAGCCAGGCGGGCAGACTCATTTAATTCCTAAGTCCAACTGGCACTCAAGAGTTCTATCTCACTCCAACCTCGGTCTCTACCACCTGCTGTTGCCATTCAGGTGAACAGCAGGTGGGAGGGCTATACTCCCTCTGCCCCATCCAAGAGGTCTAATTTGACCTAGTCCAGTGGTCGGCAAACTCATTAGTCAACAGAGCCAAATATCAACAGTACAACGACTGAAATTTCTTTTGAGAGCCAAATTTTTTAAACTTAAACTATATAGGTAGGTACATTGTTATTAACTTAATTAGGGTACTCCTAAGCTGGCCTTTGCTAATAACGTCCTCAATCTGAGGGGTCGACCTCAGCGAACGTACCCCCACTTCTTCTAACGCCACTTCTTCAAAATAGACTCGCCCAGCCGAAAACCGACTTCTGCGCATGGGCCACGAAGTTTCCATTGCACTGTACATGCGCGCCTGCACGTGGTATTTTGTGGAAGAGCCACACTCAAAGGGCCAAAGAGCCGCATGTGGCTCGAGAGCCTTGGTTTGCCGACCACTGACCTAGTACAATCCAGACCTCTGTGAAGATAAGAGAAATTCCATCCTGTGCAAGACAGACACAAAGGGTCCCACACTTAACCCCCATAGCCATCCTTAAAGTCCTGAAAGGCTGCTGATCAGACTCATTTAATGAAGCCAAATGGAGAAGAGGCCTAAGTCTCCCAAGGCCATGTCCTTGGGAGAAATGTCAGGAGGCTGGTAACAGGCAGCTCTCCCCACTTAATGATCATATAGGATGGCGAGTTCACTCACTCAGCAATCCAACAGGAGTTCCAAGAATCTATCTAACTTCAGCATTAAAAGATCATGGCCAACTTCCTCTTAATCCAAAACACACTCAGCCTTCTGTGGCAATGAAGCAAGGGAAGGCAGCTTAAGTTACAGAGAACCTCGATGAAGGTACCGGAGTAGTGAGGAGAACGTACCCCTTCTGACCAGAAGGTGACAAGAACTCCTGGGACTTGGTGTCTGAAATAACGCTAGACACCATATTTGAGACCCTGCCTAACATATGAGTCCCCCCTACAGTTTTCCCAAAGTGCTCCTTTGTTCTTAGGAATTGCTGCATTTTTTAGGGTTGTCATTTCTTCTCTTGAGGGAGGGCCAAGCCAGCCAAGGACCAAGGGACAGACTATGTGCATCCACTCCCTCTTGATTGGTCGTTCTCTATGAGGTTTCTACTTCCAAGCAAAGTCAAGCCTCATCCCAACAAAGGATAACTGTATTTCCACAAAACTGAAGGTATGTGACTCTCTCAGAGCCCTTAAGAAGCAACGTTATGTGGAAGAACTAAAAAGTGAGGTCCTGAACAAATAGAAGAAAGAGTAAGCAACAACCTTCCAAGGGGCACCCTTTAGTAGACAGGCTCCTAAGTGCAATGTTCCACACGATTAAAAAAGCTTCTCTCAGCGCTACCAGAAGACCAGGTCAAAACAAAACAAAGCTGGGGACTGGCCCAACACACCTAATTCCTCCTTTCTCTCCTATTTATATCGTTACCGAAACAGACCATACGCACTCAGTGGTAGGTGAGAACTCATTATACCTGCCCTCTGCCCACCACCGAGCTCAAGCCGATACGTTTCTCCTGCATCTCCATTCCCTTCCAACGTCTGCACACAACATGAGCCCAGGCTTACCTCTGTCGCAGACTTCGTTTCCCAGGGGTCTCCCTAGCAGAAGGTCAAAGCCAGCAACAACACAAAAACAAATGTGGGGGGAAAGAGTCAATTGTCAAGCTTTATTTTGGAACCTCAAAGACTCAAGGTGTTAGTTATAAAAATACATAGACAAGCCTACAGCCATTTCGGTGGAAATGACCCCCTCCAGGCTAAGTAAGAAAACTCACCCAACAAAGTCACCAGCTTCACTAACTCTCCACCAGCCAATTCACAGACAAAAATAACTCCAAACACTTCCAGACTCAATGGCTCATGGCAAGAAAGGTCCCAAATTCAACAACTTGTAGGAAAACCAATGATCCTTTGACACATTCTCACCTGAATCCCCAAATTCCATGAGGCCCACCTAATTTTGATACAATATTAACATTAACTCACATCTTTAGAGAGAACCGGGGCAAGTGCTCCCGCAAAGAAGGAGCTGGCATCAAGCTTCACTCACAGACCAGGCCTACCTCCCGCTCCCGCGCGGCCCCGCGCCCAGCACTCGGCCAAGCACCCACTGGGGCAGCGCCCACTCGGCGCCGGCACCTCGCCAGGGGCATTCTCTCTCCATAACACGGACCCTCCCTCCTGGCACCCAAACAGCAAAGGAAGGTCTGGAAGCCAGAGCGGTCCCTGTAGAGCCTGGTTTCCAGACGCCATCCCGGGTCCTGCTCCCGTTCTCAGGCGCCCAGAGCCGGCTTCCCTCCGCGCACCGGCCGCCTCCCCCTCCCGCCCCGCCCCCGGGACCCCGGGCCCCGCTGCCTTCCGGCCAGAACCGGGAAGCAGAGCAAAGCCGGGGAGCTCGGAGCCCGGCCGAACCCTCCGCCAACTCCAGGGCAACCACCTGAGCGCCCCGCAGGTTCCCGCCGCCCGAGCTCGGGCCCCCACAACTGCCCGCAACTGGCGCTGCCCCGCTCCGCCGCCGCCCCCGCGCGGGAGCCCCAGCCCCCGCCTCAGCCCGCGCCCCTCCCTCCAAAACTTTCTTTCATGACCTCGGCGGCCCCGACAGGCCCCTCCCACTCCCCAACCTCCATGCTCCCTGGGCCAACCAAGATCCGGCCCCAAGCCCCCTTCCGGGTCCAATCTTCATCCTCCCGGAA